TATATCAAAAACATTCCATTAAAAAGTACTTAAACATTTTGTTAGTTAAATAAATAAAAAGTATTTAAAAACTCAAAAAAAAATAAGAAGAAATACACACAAAACACAAAACAACAATAAAAGCTTAAATAAAAAACTAAAACAGCTGATAGTTTATAATTAGCAACAAACAATAATAAAATTTTTAATGATAAATGAATCTTTTTTTTTTGTAGAGAGATGAGATATGACAATCTCGGGTGCGGTTCAAGCGCATCTTTCTGAGTGTGAATGATTTAAAAAATTTTGCAGAAGTTATACAAATATGTTATATTGGACAGCTTGAAGACAAGAGAGCAAATCTATTCTTTTATGTACGTGGCGGACACACTCACCTTCACTGCCATTCGGCTTAGAGGCTGCGTTCGCCAGGCAACGTGGACAGGAAGCAGTCGAATCGATAAGACTATGTTCCGGTGCAACATACGGAAGATCTTTATATATGAAAGTAGTCGGTGTAGGTGGTGCTAAATTACGATTTGAAATGATTAATATTTCATAAAAATAATCACATAATAATTTCAAAAAAATAAATACCATACATACTATACATAATTGTCTAACGTCAATAATTTTAATCTAATTGTATACAGATATGCATTAAACATATATTATCGTGATTTTTTTTTTTTTGTTGATGGAGGAAGCTACTTGCACACGTTTTTAGAAAAAAATTATCTAATAATTTGTAAGTCACATGTGATTTGTTTTTCTATATTATCACAAAAATTATCTTCTACTTGTTACTTTTTAGTTATCAATCATACACTTTGCTTATTCATATGTGATATAGCAAAGCTATTTTTAAGCTTATAACAAACACGGCAATTTGAAACAACACCTTTGAGTTGCCATAACTCATTAGCACTTTTATCCTTTCGTTATCAAAGTAACTGTCTAATTATCATTGCTGAGCTATCTTTATTTTTATATTTATAGCATACTTAAATATTTGCTATTTAATATTTAATTAATAAGCTATTACTTCTTCAGAGGAGAGCTGTAGTTTGCAGAGAATAAAGAAATGAATTTTCGTAATTTTTTGTATATTGGTTTTTATTGGACACTGGACACATTTGATCCAAAAAATAAATAATATTTTTTAATTTTGATATTTCGAATTACTTAATATGATAATGATATTTATTTAAAAAAAATAAAGCAATGTACTACTCATTGAAAGAAAACGATACTTCTATATGTTGTGTCTGCAGTTTTTTCTTTTATTTCAAAATTTTATTGCAAACCAAAAACGGATAAATTTTATATAGGCCGTGTGCGAATTCGAGTAAATTGAGGGAATTAGTAAATTATGTTGGCATGGCAGCGAATGTTGATATTTACCAGAATTTCGAGTAGGGTAAATTAGATAAAAATTAAGTAAATTAGATAAATTAGGTGTTACCATTATTAAAATGTTATAATATCTTTAATATTTAAATTATTATTATTATGACATGTTCTATTAATTATAAACACAATTCAATTAATAGAACATGTCATAATAATAATAAATAAATTTGAAAACTTTTAACAAAAAAAAAAATAAAGAAGTGCGATAAATAAATAAATAAAGATTTTCAAGTACAGTACAAAAATCACTAGGAAATTTCAATTTAATTTACCTCAATTTACTCGTCTCGCACACGGCCTTAATATCACATATGACTTATTTTCTATTTCAATTAGAAAACAGTAAATAGTAAGGAATAAAGGAAGAGTATTGCTACAATAATAATTTAATTGTTTTTCAAATATTACCAAATACAAATGATCGGTTATCGTTGTAATTATTTTTTTGGACTGGACATAAATGTTGACCGAGTGAGTATTGAAATTACACCTATTTAGTCAAGTTTTAGACACCTGATTCAACGCCGTACTTGAATTATGTTTATTATGTTCTGTAAAATTTTTGCTCCCCCAACAAATCTGCTTAATTTTTCATGTGTAAACCAAATATAAACCACAACTATATATACTATAAAACCAATTAAATATAACGAGAGTGGCTGTTATAATTCATTTCTATTTTAGTAAAACCATCGTTGTTTATAATAGTTGTAATTTTTGCTTTCAGAGTTGTAAAAAAACAGCATTAGGTCTGGTTGAAACAAATTGGCATCACTTTTAAAATATGTTTAATGTTTATTTTTGATATATGTTTTTTGAAATATATTTTGACATGAAAAAATTGTAACCACTAAAAATTAATTAATTTAAATAAAGGGAAAGACAATGGTTAGCATTTTTATTTATATTTCAATTATTTTATTTATTTATCTATTTGAATTTATTATTAAATGAATATACTCATATGATTCTAATGGATGTGTGGAATTTTGCAACATATTTCTAGTGAACATTCAGAATAGACTAATTTTTGAATCTGGGTGCACTGAAACTGAAGACGTAAAAGTTTTTACAAGTAAAACCTAACTCTGAAGATTTTAAGAGCATTGTTTTTGCTTCATATGTTTTGTTTCGTAAGTTGCAAGCATTTTTTTGCTACTCTGAAAGAAAAAATAACGTCCAAATTCGTAAAAATCATTTATTTAAAATAAAACAAATTAATAAAACAAAGGTTTTTATTATTGATACTAATCTTTAACCAGTTCATTGTATTTAGTAGTTTTCTTGTTTAGACTAATATGATCCTTTTGTTGTATTATTTCATTATAATTTTATTTTTTATAAAAGAAAGAATCAACTGATATATTAGTATTTTTAGTATTTCGTTCGCAGAACTTTTTGTTTTACTTTTCATAATCAAAATTCAAGATTTTAATGCATTTAATTGAAAAAGCAAAATATTTTAAAAATTGTCGGCTCATGCAAAAACTATATAAAAATATAAAAAGAATAATTATTTTTAAAAATTAATTAATTTATTTTCGAAAAAAAATTTTTTTTATTCAAAATAATATATTTACTATACCACTGCATATATAGTACTTCACACTGCACTCTATCGAGTAAAAAGGAATAGAAGACATAGTTAACTCTTTAACTCTAAACGTTAAAATATAATATATTATTTGAATAATACTATTTTTTATTAAAATACAAATTTTTGAAAGCACAAATTAAAACAATATGGGCCGATTCGTATCTTGAGTCTTGTTGTTGTTGTTGTGGTTTGAGTTAGTGCTATTGCGCACATTTACTCTTTTATAGTTGGGGGGCTTATCCCTGCCCCACACTTATTTTTAACTATACTAGAATTGTTAGGTTGTGCAACGTATCGACTTTTATGTATAATTTTAGGGCTCTGCCCTTGATATATTTTTCACTAAGTCGATCCCTAGATCTCTGTGCATGTATGTTGTTCTAATATACCATGGAATCTTACTACTGACTTAAGTATAAATTAAGTCAGCAAATTTGAGCATGACTTAAGTCACGAGAAATATCCCCTAAATTAAATAGGTTCTATATACCTCTACCTTATAACCCTTCTAAAACCAAGTTCATTAAAATTGTTTGAAATATATATTTATTACAATTAATATAATAACTGTTATATCTGTATAATTTAGATATTTATTTATTCAAAAAAACTCCAAGTTATTATTATTTCACAAGTTCAAAATAACTGACAGAATTAAAATGTTAATTCTACTTTATCTGTCAACTGTCATCTTGGCAGAGTTGCCAACACCTCCCCTTTTGAGATTAAATCTCCAATGCGGTGATTCTAGGGTCTATAACGGTCAATAGGATGTCTAGTACGCCTTGGTCGGGTACACGGAACAACTGCCTCATTGTGCTTCTCAGTTTGAGGGATTGCAATCTCGGTTACTTTGTTGAAAGATTGATCTGGAGTCGAAACCATGTTGTTGTTAGTTATTTCGACCACATCTTTAGGTGTTGTTTCGTAGAGGCCAAATGCATCAACTAAACACTTTTCGTTGGCGATATCTTCGGAAGTACATATTTCTAAAGATAACTCATTTTCTTGATCTTTACGGTCACCGCACTTGTTTTTAAACTTGGCATTTGGGTCTGGTAAAGACACCAGCGTTGAAATTGGTGACTCACAAATTGAGTACCATTGTCTGAAACTATTGTCTTCGGTAACCCAAATCTAGCGAAAATTTCTTTCAAGCTGGAAATTGTTTGAGTTGCTGTTATAGACTTTGTTTGTATAATTTCTGGCCATTTTGAGAACGCATCGATTACGACCAAATAGTAGTATGAATCTATTGGTCCTGCATAATCAATATGGAGCCGTTCCCAAGAATCAGAAGGTTTTGGCCAAGGATGTAAAGTTGTTTTTGTGGGCATTTTAGCTGCTGCGGCACAATTTGAACAACTTTTCACCATTGCTTCAATATCGTAATCGATATTTGACCAATAAACGTAGTTCCGCGCGATGGCTTTAGTACGACCTATGCCTTGATGACCTCGGTGAATTTCTTTAAGAATGCGCTTTCGGAAAATTTGAGGTATAATAATGCGTTGTCCGAACATTAAACATCCGTCAACTATACATATGTCGTTTTTTCGGTTAAAGTAAGCTTTTAACTCACTGTTGTTGCAGTTTGATGGCCATCCTTCAGTTACATATTCGAGAATTTTAGCTAAAACCTTGTCCTTAGCTGTTTCGTAATTAATCATTTTGCTGGTAAGCGGCAGCTTATCAAGTGAGTTATGTAAAATTTGTTTACTTTCAATTTCAAACTCTACTGCAGCGATGACATAGTCTTCTGAAGGATTGATTGTGTTATGTATGAGTCGTGATAAAACGTCTGCATACCCAAAACTGTTAGTT